CAGGGTAATTAGAAAGTGCTTCTTGCTTAGTATAAATTCCAAATATTAATGAACTGAAGACGTTCCGAGCCTATTAAAGATAAATATTCTAACCAACATTATGTTTTCAAAGACAAAGAGCAGAAACTAAAAAAAAAAAAAAAAACCATACAGAAGAGTTTCATTTATTATGGGTTGAAGACAAGCTTTCTAACAATTGCTCGAGTCTTTGAAATCAAATGGCATTCACTGGAAGGAGAAGAAAAACAGCACAGCGGTTGGGGGTCAAAATGTCTGTATTTTAGCTCTTAAACAAATCAGTCCCCCCCCCAACACAGTATTTTTATTTGCAATTTCCACAGAGTGCTCCCCAATTTCACAGGATGTGCTTGGTCACAAGTAGATTTGAGGTACATAGACGGAAGTACATCAGAATGTATGCTTGCTTCTGATTGGACAAAGGTGGGAAGTATGTAGTCGTGTGGGTTTTGCCTTTATAAGTACCTGTCTAACCTAAAACAGCACCATTCTCTGGGAATCCCAGTTACGAATCTGACCAGTGTCCATTCTCCTGGCCAACATTAAATAAAGCTTGCTTTCATCAGACAATTGTGGATTTTATCTTTCTGTTTGCTGATAAACAAAGTCTTCACACTAAACTTTGAGCAACTAAGCATTATTAATGATAAATTTTTAAGTTAATATCCATCTATTCTTTAATTTATAACAGAAATTATCATGAATTTTCAGATTCAAGGAAGGTGTAAGTACAGAAAATGTACATTTTAGAAACTCGGACACAAACAAGGTAAGAAATGGAAGTTTCTTTTTTAAACTTAGATTTGGGGTTATAAATGTTCAGCCTTAAGGTAAACTTAAGATACTTCTATTGGCAAGGAGAGAAAAGGGAAAACACTGTACTTTGAAGTGGAAGTGTTTCTGTCTGCATTCTTTATGAAACAGCAAAGAGCCATAATAATATTTTTCCATTTTAAAAAGAATGCTAAGGGGCGAACGAAGCAAAAAATACAAACAATGACAAGTTCCACTAAGAAGAACCACCAATGCCTCCCAGTTTATTTCCTTTTGAGAAATTATATGAGAAATAAATTCTATAAATCGCTGAAATAAAAATATGTGATTAATGTATAAAAGACAACAATTTTGAATAATTTATAAGGCAAAGCCACAATTCCATCTTCAGTTTTTGAGCTAAAAATAAAAGGGGAAACATCTGTTAAGTTATTATCCACAGCAAATGAGGCTCCAGCATAGAGGCTCCAAATCTTCCCTTGCGAGTATGTTTCCAGATTTTCACACTGAAATCAGAGTGCTCTGTTGTGCTGAAGCAACCGAGAAATTTATCATCTTCCTCACCTACTGTCTGGCCCCAAAGAAACTGAGGACAATTGGCTGAGGTGCATATTAGCATACCAAAGTATATGATTGCCCCAGGCCAGACCCACCCAGTACATATGGCTACTCTCTACCCTTTTCACCTCAGCTCCCTCTGCTACACCTTTCCAGCCCTGAGGCTTCCCTTCCCTTCCCCCACCTCCATTCATAACTTGTGAAGGGCCTAGGCTCTCACCCAGCCCCCTGCTTTGGCAGCCATGACAGGCTGCAGAAAAGACCCAGCAAGATGTAGGCCCCTGACTCTAACCTTGTCCTATTCACTAGGAAGCAACCTCCAGATACCCTCCATATGGTAAGGAACCAATCACAAGTTCGATGGCAGGCTCTAGATGCGCTTTCCTGATAATAGTGGAATGCAGGGCTTAGCAACCACCCTGGGAGGACCTCTAGGTACAGCAACCTTTCTGCAACTGCAGCTGACCAATCAACTCAGGACAGGTTGCCCAAGCCCAGAGGAGGTGTACCAATCTTGAGATTGTTGCTATGCAACTAGCAGACCCCCAGACACTCCCCTTGCTCTACCCCAATATATGCTCTGTGCCACTGCTGCTCAGGGTCCCTCCTGCTCCACCTGCTGGGTTGGGCAAATGGAAAGAGGACTCAAGTTAACCCCAGTTAACCCATAAATTAAAGAGACTCTTTGCTTTTGCATTGGATCTGGTTTCTTGGTAGTTTTGGGAGTTCAGAGTCTGGGAACAACACTTGTAATATCTTGTATTTCGGTTTTGTTTCCATCTAAGTGCTAACCTCTATTTATTCATATTTTGACCCAACTGTTGCTCAAAAGTGTGTTAATTCCCAAACTTTTAGAAAATTTCCAACATTTGTTGTTTCGGTTGTTGGGAGGGAAGTTGGTAAATTTTAAGCTTTTTAGATTTTTTTAAAAGATTATTTGTGACCTAATATGATTAACATAGAAAAGTTTCTATGGTACTTGAAAAGAAAGTAAATTATACTATTATTGGGTGCAGTGTATCTGTGGGACATATTTGATCTAGTATTGTTCAAACCCAATTTTTTATATTGACCTATCAGATTCTTCTGCCTAATGCTGAATGTTGGATATTGAAATACCTATTACTATTGTTTTTCTATCATCAGGTTCATCAATATTTTCTTCATATATTTAGAGCTAATATTGAGTCATATGCATTTATCAAATCTAGATTTTTCTCATGGATTGGTCCTTTTCATATTACACATTTTGCTTTGTGTGACAGTTTGCTACCTAATAGCTATTCTGTTAGATAGGTTATAGATAGATGATAGATAGATAGATAGATAGATAGATAGATATAGATAGATACATAGATAGATATTCACATCTACCTATAGGTAGATGCATGACAGATATAGATGGATAGATGATAAATAGATATATCTATGTACTTATAGATAGATGGATCTGCCTATAGCTAGGTAGATGATAGATAAAGACACAGATAGGTAGATACCTTTATTCATGCTGACTTCTTGCACAGCAGGTCCTTTTCTATCCCATCAACACTACTTAAATAAACAGACCAAACAGATTTTTACAAATAAAACTAATCAGTGTGAAAAAAGAGTCTTAAAGGCAGCATCACAAGTAACATGAAAACAGAGAACAATTCTGAGCAGAAATAAGGAGAAAGACAGGCCCACACTCAGGGTGCTAATCAATTCTCAGAGATATGCTGACACTATAGCATGTACGAGAAAGGAAAGAAAATAAAAGCATAAAAACAAAGAAGGAAAACTCAACCCTTTGTACTTGGTACAACTGTGTAGTTAGAAAGCCAGTCTCTAAAGGAACTACTAAGAATCTCTGCCAATCAATCTACACAACATCACAGCCTGGAACACACATGAGAGCAAGTGTAGAACATAAATATGGAGAGAAGATTATATTTAAAAACTACATAGATAAAATATTTAGCCATGAACTTATCAAGAGAAATATATGCAAGTTCAAATATTGCTAAAGAACACAAAAGAAGGCAAGTTTCAATCCATAATCCTATGTGCATTCAGATACTTCCTTTTTGTGGCAGCAACTCTGTATTTTTTAAATATTCAGTAGACATTAAAAAATCAGCAATATTTTAGTCAAGTAATAAATAAAGATAAATGCTTAAGAAAAGTCATTTGCAGTAATGGGAATAAAGTGCATAATTAAATCTAAATTTATAGATACATTATCAGCAGTAATTTAGACCAGCTAAATTTATCCACTGTGTTCAGATCAGGCTACAAATAAAATATTCAGGGCATATAGAAAAATGACCCTAAATAAAGCCAATCAAGAATAATTTCTAAAATACAGAGAAGAGAGAGAGAGCAGATACAATATTAAAATAATCAGGTGTGCAAGATATCAAAGTTGAAAAGAGACAGCAGACATAATATTAAAATAATCAGGTGTGCAAGGTATCAAAGTTGAAAAGAGACACCAGATATAATATTAAAATAATCAGATGTGCAAGGTATCAAAGTTGAAAAGAGACAGCAGATACAATATTAAAATAATCAGATGTCCAAGGTATCAAAGTTGAAAAGAGACAGCATACATAATATTAAAATAATCAGGTGTGCAGGGTATCAAAGTTGAAAAGAGACACCAGATATAATATTAAAATAATCAGATGTGCAAAGTATCAAAGTTGAAAAGAGACAGCAGATATAATATTTAAAAAATCAGGTGTGCAAGGTATCCAAGTTTAAAGTGAAATCCAACAATTATCAGGCTTCCACAAATATGCTCCTCAACTAAAAACTAAGACATCAAAGAAATTGTTAAAAAAAATTAAGACGAATGAGTTCTCTGTGATATTGTCAAAATTAATAGCAAAAATATGTATTGTGATGTATTCTTTAAATGAGCTGGGCTGGAGAATAAATAAAACCTTCCTGTCTTGAATAAAGCTTTTACAGGAATATTTAACTATGGAAATCATAGCCCATAGTATAAACCCACCATGAGATTCTTCATGTTTTTTCAGTACACCAGAAGAGGAGAAGCAGAGAAAATATCTAAGTTACATTTATCATAAATAGCTTGAGACCCTGGAGATATCTATCATTGAAGATATGGCAAATACATATGGAAAATCAATGTATCCCGATTCTACATTTTCCTAAGACATTGGGAGTAAATTTAAAAGACATTTGCAAGTGTTTAAAGCATAAACTGTAATTATTATCCTTATACTTACAACTTACCAAATGATTGTTGTTGGAGATTATTAGGCTCCCTGTACTTAATTCACATTCAGTACATACACATATACCTTCAAACATGTCTAAAAATGAAACCCGAAGTCTTTTGAGCATTGGGTGTGCTCTTGTTTTCACTTGTGTTCTTTCTACACAAGAATCGCATTAACACGGATTGGCATAATGGGCCAACATCTGTGGCAAACATGAAGAGATCACTCCTGAGAAGGCTGCAACCTTCTTAAGGAGAAGCCTCCCCTGGATAAGATCCTTAGGGTGTGGCTTGGCCAGGAACTGAAAAGGAGAGGCTGAGTGATACAATATCCCACCACCTTATGACAATTTCTCTAGCTGTGAGCTGGTTGAGTAATAACTGTGAGTGTGCTGGTAATAAAACACTGTCCACTTACTTGACAACAAAGTGTATATCTTTCTTGGTGGCGAATGCCTGCGTCTTGGCTGTGCCTTTTCTTTGCAGGCTAATTTCCGAGGTCTTTGAAGAGAGGGCACAGGAATTGGGGGATGGGAAGAAGAGCTTGGAGAGCGTGCTGGAGACTCTCCACCCAATGTACTTAGAGAAAACTTCTTCTCCGAGGTTTGGTGTAGCTTTTCTGCTGTACCTAGTAAACGGGTCAACCTGCTCGTTTAATTCAGCCTGTTGAAAGGAAAAGGGAGGGAGAATAGGGCTGAGTGAAAGAAAACTCTAAGTTAGTTCATAAAAGATAAGGTGTACGCCCATATTCTTTGGCTAGCAGTGCCTCTCTCTTAGGTGAGAGTAACCATGGGGCAGTGAAGGGGCTCTGTGGGTAACGGTTCTTGACACAAACACTGACGACGACCTGAGTTTGGCCCACGAGACCCACATGGTAGAAGGAGAGAATGGAGACCCACATGGTGGTAAGAGAGAATGGAGACCCACATGGTGGAAAGAGAATGGAGACCCACATGGTGGAAAGAGAATGGAGACCCACATGGTGGAAAGAGAGGATGGAGACCCACATGGTGGAAGGAGAGAATGGAGACCCACATGGTGGAAAGAGAGAATAGAGACCCACATGGTGGAAAGAGAGAATGGAGACCCACGTGGTGGAAAGAGAGAATGGACTCTGCGGGTTGCCCTCTCACCTCTGCCAATGCACCTCTGCACTCACACGGCGTGTGCAACACACATACATACCCAAATAAATAAACGTAATTACAATTTTGTAAAAATAACCTTTGCAATAAAAAGATTTCCCCAAATTAAAAAATAAAGGGGACAAAGCAATATTCAGTAAAAAGAACAATCGTGTTTACGGTTAGGTAATTTTTTAAGGTAATGATAAAATTAACATTTTTAATATAACACACTTAACATACAAGAGTTTCATAAATGCAAGTGCTTGAAGTGCTGTGTACTTTATTATGTGATATTTTCTTAACTCTGCTTATGCCTTAAAACCCCCATTAAAGTGAATAGAACTTTTCTATAGGATGGATTTTTAAATCAAAAGAAATGTAGGAACAATGGCATTCCACTTAACTAAAATTGAAAATGTCTTAGGATCTTTATTCATTGTTTTTTATTTTACCTTACAGACACACAAAACATGAAAAGTATTGTGCTGGCTAGATTCATGTCAACTTGACACAAACTGTTGTCATCCAAGAGGAGGGAACCTCAATTAACAAACTCCTTCATAAATATGGCTGTGGGCAAGCCTGTAGAGCATTTTCTTAATTGGTGATTGATGGGGGAGGGCCCAGCCCATCGTGGGTGGTACACCCCTGAGCTAGTGGTCCTGGGTTCTATAAGAAAGCAGGTTGAGCAAGATGAGGAGCAAGCCAGTAAACAGCACCCTTCACTGCCTCTGCATCAGCTCCTGACTCCCCGATCCTGTCTTGTTCAAGTTCCTGTCCTGACTCCTTCAGTGAAAAACAGTGATGTTGAAGTGTAAGCAGAATAAAACCTTTCCTCCTCAACTTGCCTTTCGGTCCTGGTGTTTCGTCAAAGCAATAGAAACCCTCACTAAGACAACCAGGCACAGGTACCATGCTATATTTCAGAGCTTACAGATCCTAGTTAGTGACACATGACAAAGGCATGACAGGGCAGAAAAGTTCCGAATGTCTTAGCAAATTCTGTTCAAATTGAGAAACTGTTTGAAATCTCCAATGTGTATTAGATACTAAGACTGACTTTAAATATTTTTTAAATGCCCGGAGGTTTATTTTCTTTGGCTTGACTCCGTAATAGCAAATGGAGATTTTAGTACAATTTCACATGTCATATCTTACAGTTGTCCATATTATCAGTTGAGTGCTCTTTATTTTTATTTACAGTTTAAGTTTGTATTGAATAGCATTGTTCTCTGCACACCTCTTTATCACCACTTGGAGTTCATTTTAGAGGCCTGAGGTGTCTGTTGTAACATTTATAGGAGTAGCTGGAGCTGAGCAGACACTTTTGTCCATAGAGTACCTCCCTAGAAAGCATGAGGACTGAGTTTTGACCCCTGAGATCCAAGCAAAAAATAACCTTCCCTTTGTAATGAACTGCAGTGAGCACAGAGATTTCTGGATGCTCAGGTGTGGACAACACATGACAGTTGAGAGCTCAGCCCTCAGCTCCCAGTCACAACAGCCTCAAAGAAAATGAACTATCTAAAAGTAAATCTAACTAAGAAAAATGAAGAATCTCTACAGTGAAAACTTTAATCCTCTGATGAAAGAGATAGACACTGTAAGGAGAGCCCATGTTCATGGATTCGTGGGATTAATATTGTTAAAAATCACCATTTTACCAAAGTTATACACAGGTTCTATGCAATTCCAATCAAAATCCCCATCTCATGCATCACATAAATAGAAAACAATTCTAAATTCCACGTGGAATCACAAAAGACAATGTAGAACCAAAACAAACCGGAGCAAAAAAAAAGCAATGAGGAAAGGATTGCCATTCAAGAACTTAAGATGCACTGCAGAGACAGTGATGAAGCAATGTCTTCCCACTGATCAAAGACCCAAAATGGAAACCACTGGAAGAAAACATAGGCAGGACCCTGCGTGATAGAGGTGTAGGAAAGGACTTTCTGAACTCCATTTGTGGCTGAATTAAGGACCACGCTTGACAAGTAGGACTTCGTGAAACTAAAAGGGTTTTGCATGACTAAAGGAACAATAAATCATTGAAGAGGAAGCCCACAGAATGGAAGAGAATCTTTAAGCTCTATACCTGACAGAAGATGGATCTCCGGCCACTAAGGAAATAAGTATAGAGAATTAGCAAAATGCTTAAAATAAATCTCCCCTATGACCCTACAATACCACTCTTTGCTGTGTGCCCAAAGGACTCAACATCATAGTGCACAGGTCCTCGTTCATTCGTGTTCACTGCTGCTCTATCCACAACAGCCAAGACATAGAAACAATACAAATGCCCTACCACCAATGAAGGGGTAATGGAAATGGGGTATGTATACACTGTGCAACACTATCAGCTGTAAGAAAAAAATGAGGCACTCTTTACCTGGGAACCTGCTGGCCGCACCAGCCTGAAACTCTCCCTCCTGTCCTCTATTGCAATCCCCAACTACCATCCCCAGGCCTGGAGCAGGCCATCTGCAGGGAGCTTTCCTCCCTCTGTGGCTCCACTCTCTGGGAAATCCACAGACCCTCCCAGAAGACCCACTTCCCTCCTCCTGGGGGCCCTCTCAACACTTTCTAGCTCATCCTCATTTCATTGTGTCAGCCCCTGATACCTAGAAATAGGTCCTACCAGGGACCCCAGTGGCTACACCTGGCAGGGACTCAGAAGTACTCCCTACCAGGCAATCACACCCACCACACCCTCCTAAGATCCAGAAAGGACAACACAAATCAGGGAACAGAACATCCACCCAACAAAGACAAAACCAGATATCAGCACCCACAATTACATCATCCCAAACTCAGATGCCTAAATGCAGGTTTAAAAATATAATTAATAATCAATCGCAGCCAGGACAATATGACTCCAGCAGAACCCAGCAACCCTACTGCAGTTGGCCCTGAGAAATGCAACATAGCTAAAGCACAAGACAAGGGCTTGAAAATAACTGCTGTGAATATGATTAAGGAACTTGGAGAGGATATGAATAAATCCATTAATAAAGTCTATAAAACACACTGGAAGGAAATGAATAAAACAATCCAAGACTCAAAAGTGGAAACAGAATCAACAAAAAAATTAAATTGTGGGAAAACTGGAAATGAAAACTTTAGGAACTTGACCAGGAACCTCAGCGGCAACCCTCACCAACAGTATACAAGAGTGGAAGAGAGAATCTCAGTCACTGAAGACAAAATGAAGAAATGAATACCTCGATCAAAGAAAATGTTAAATGTGATAAAATCCTGGCACAAACATTCAGGAAGCCTGGCGCACTAAGAAAAGATAAATCTGAGAATAACAGAAATAGATGAAGGAGAAGCAACCCAGGGCAACGGCAGAGGAAATCCTTTCAGTAAAATCGTGTCTATCAAGGTGCAAGAAGCATACAGAGTGCCAAATAGATGGGACCAGAAGAGAAATGCCCCACAGCACATAATAACCAAAAGCTGAACTTACAGAACAAAGATTACAAAACACAAAACAACATATAAAGGCAGACCAATTGGAATAGCATGTGACTTTTCAATGGACCTGTAAAAGACAGAAGAGCCTGGACAGAAGTTCCAAAATAACTCTAAGAGATCACAGATAACAGCCCAGACTACTATACCCAGCAAAATTTTCAATCACAATAAATGAAGAATGTAAATCATTCTATGATTTAAAAAAAAATCTTAAGAAGTAGCTACCTACCAATCCAACCTATAGAAAGTGCTAGAAGGAAAACTCCAACCTAAGGAGGTTAATCATACCAAAGAAAACACAAGGAAAAAATAACCCTAGACCAGAAAATCAAAAATGGGGAATGGAACCACACTGTAATAACAAAATAAGAAGAATCAACAAACATTGTTTATTGATAACTCTCAACATTAGTCATCTGAGTTCCACAGATACACTGGATACAAAGACAAGATTCATGCTTCTGCTGCATCTAGGAAACACACCTTACCATCAAGAAGAAACATCACCTCAGGCTAAGGGTGGGGAAAGATACTCCAAGCAAATGGGCCCAAGAAGCAAGCCTGTGTCACAACTTTAAGATGAAATGACAAAATAGACATCAAACCAAAACTAATAGAGATAGAGGAGGTCACCACATACGCATCAAAGGAAAAACTCCACCAAGAGAATATTGCAGTTCTAAGCATTTATGCACTAAACACAAGTGCAACCAAGTGCAATTTATAGAGAAATATTACTACAGTTGAAATCACATATGGACTCTCACACTGTGATACTAGGTGACTTCAATGTCTTCCTCTCACCAATAGTCAGGTCATCCAGACAAAAATAAACAGAAATGATGGAGTTAAATAAGTCAAATGAATGCAGCAGCTATCTACAGAACATTTCACTCAAGCATTCTCGGCGCCTCATGGAACCTTCTCCAAAACTGATCACACAAAGCAAATCTCAACAGATCCAAGAAAATTGAAATAACACCCAGAATCCTATCTGATCACCATCAATTAAAGCTAGGTATCAACCACAGAAACGATGGAAAGCTTGGTACTGGA